ACGCCTTCTGCACTGCTATAACAGTTACCCAGTTTTTTCCATTAATTCGATAATTTTTTGGTTAATTATAGCAGCAGTAATAACAGCAAAACAGAACTGTTTATTACATAGCAAACGTTTGATATTACCATTATATGGGCAATAATAAATTCAAACTTGACAACTATGTTCAAACTGTACCGAAAAGGAGATTTATTATTACGGTTACATTTTTTATTCTGTACCATTATTCAAAGTCATACTTCTTGTACATCTTCAAACTTTCTTTAAGCAAACCAGAATGTAACCTACCAAGTAAATTACTACCTTGAAACACCAACCACATTTTGCTTTACAACCGCTGTTGTACATTTTTTCAAGTTTTCCAAAGTTTATTGGCAGTCAAATGAGTATAAGTTGTTCCTTTTTTAAGAAACACTTATCTGTTATCAATTTCAAACCAGTATGCTTAAAAGTTAAATATACAACAATTTGGCAACTTGTCTATCTGCGTTGTATCTCAGTGTACCTCAGTTTAGCACCTTAAAAGTCCGGTCCAGTTTTCATTTCGTAAATTCATGTTCTTTACCTTCCCAACAAAGACTTTCCCCTCGATCCATAATCGATACTGCTGAACCTCACTAAATTGCAACTTTATTGCCATCAATGCATTTAACTTTCAAAAAAGATTTGCAGTGAACAGTTTTACAAGTATGTAGAAAAAAAATTCTGACATTTCCAAAAAAAAAATATCTAAAATTTTTCTTTAAGTTCGACAATCAAGAATCCTCTTTGAACATAAATCATAATAAACCACGATAACATTTCCCTGTTATTCTGAAGATACCTTCTTTAGGTTTATCCACTTGACAGAATCACCAAAATTTTGAATAATATGAAAAAATTGTAGAACAGCTTTGCGGTACATTGTTTTTTATAAAAATCAAGATCAAAAAAAAAGATCTCCGATAATGTAGATCAAGAAATGCAGCAAATCAAAACTTTTATTACTGAATTGATTAAGTGCCTACATTCCATTTGACTGTAAGCTATCAGATAACTACAGTGCAGATAATCGAAAAGAATGATAAATAGTGAGACAAAATGGCAAACGGTATTTCAAAGGAATACTTTTTTTAAAAGCTCAAAGTTCTGCAATAAGTTACTGAAATTTCACGTTAAAAAAACTCTAATTTACGAACCGTTTTCATCCCCATCACCCACACTTTTCAGTCAACAAAACTAAAGGTTACACAGTTAAAGATTACAATTAATGATAGCCCCACTATTTCCTGTAAAAAAATAACATTTAAAACTAATGTGAGGTGAGCAGAAGGAAACTAAGAGTCAAAAGGAAAAATTGGTTAACCTGTCTAGTAGAACTGGCTGACGTATGTTTAAACTGTAAGTTAATACAAAGAAATCCAGCAAGAAACGCTGAAAAAAAAGAGCTTCAGATATTTGAGTAAGGAACACTCAATCAAAGAATATCGTGTTTGTAGAACAAAAATAGAACGACAGCCAAAAATATGAAACATAAAACTTCATAAAACCTGCAATTAGTTCTTCTCCCGACTTCAACCGACTATTGCCAACGAAAGGCAAACCGTTTGCACTTTAGCAAACATTAGACAACTCTGTAAACTGTATCTGGAAATAAATGCTTAAAATGCTGTCTGTTTTCAACTAAATTATAGCAAAATTGTAATTTTACTAGTCCATTTTGTGTTTTAAGTACACCTACCTAGCTCCCTATTAAACAAACAGTGTTATACATAATACTGCGAAAAAAAAGTAAAAAAGAAAAACCTCTAAAATAAGAAACTTTTTTGTGAGTTGACTGTCGGTTTCTGTTGTCTTCTGCTGCTTTCACATTTCTATCAATAACAGTACCGACGAAGTGCTGTCAGATATTACTAATCAGTTTAGTGACGGTCCAGTTTTAGTAAGATCACTGCCATTTAACATAACAAAGAGGAAAAACGTTCGTTGTATTGTAAGTTTTTGGCAAAAAAAACCTCTTTCTAACGTTGCTTCAGATGTGTTCACTGAATTTCTGAACCAGCAATAAAAATCAGACAAATAAACTTACAAATAAACTTCGCAAAAACCTATATTCAATTGTCGTGCATAATAACAGGCAAAAAATAAAGTGCTTTACTATTACTGTAGTGCACATTAAATAACCTTATAAAGAACTTTAAACAGCTGGAAATTCTTGCCACAACTAGAATCTTCCTTTAAACCCTTTCTTTCTGCAGCACTTATCAAATCAGAAATAGATCCTTTTTTCCCTTCTAGACAATACACTTTAAAACTTGAAAAAAACTTTATTTCAAAGAATATTCTTCAAAGTGTCGTCGTCGACAACGTATCAGTTTTGGTCAATATTCACTGAGTTAAACAACTGATTGTCTCAAATGAGGCTGGAGAAAATGCAGAAAACTCCTTTAAAAATTAATTTTAAGTGAACCATTCCAGAAAACAAAAACTGACAAATCTTAAACGTCTCCATAATTTTTGAAAGATTAATTGTTGAGGAAGCGTTTTGAGAAAGCTTACAAAAATCAAAAAAGAAAAAAAGTACAAGGTTTTATAATGAAGAACAAATCTAGCGTAAATTTAGCTGAAGAATATGGCCGCAAATCAATTCTGCCACAGGAATGACAAACGATAGACCATCCAATTCTTGCAAGAAACTTTTTCTATGTCGCTTCCAGTCGCGCATCAATACTAAACATTGTTCGATACCAGAAATTCATCAAAGATTACAAGTATTGCTGTGTAGTATCGTACCGTTGTTCGTACTCAACTGCTCCCTCTACATTACTGATGTGATCTCCAAAGTTCACAGCAGTTAATGGTTCAACAGTCGCCGGTCTCTCTTGTGGTAAACTGTTGCTGGAAGCACTGTTATATATGATCTAAGCAAGCATTTAGGTTACTTTCTGAACAAGTTTATTGAGAACAGTTGCAAAACAATATTTTTTGGGATCGTTTAAGTTCACCGACGCTCAACAACGAGTAGGTAAAGAGGAGAGGTACTGCAAAAGCGGAAAAAAAAATAATTTTGAGTTTCTGCATTCATTTGACTCAAACGTTGTTTGCTAGCGGTGATGTTTTAAATAGCAGGAGACTCAAGTTTACCAGGAAAAAACGGCTGCAACTCTCAGTAAAGTTACTTTTTAGCAATAAAAAAAAAAAAAGAAAAAAAAAGCAGAATAAATCATGTAGTGAACAGGATAACAAAACAAGTTTCTTCCCTGTCAATAACCGTCTTTGACATACATACTCTCATTTTTAGGTGTTGACGTAATAAGACCATAGATATGTCAATTGCTAAGCGCCAATTTTAGTGAGTACTCATAATCTTTGTTCTTACCCTGCTTAATCTCACTAAATATAATGCATTCCTTGTTGTTTATATGATATTTAGAGGAAAAAATTGCGTACGAAACCATAGAAACTGTTCAAAAAAAATTTTTTTTCTACTACATCGGATCCCCTATAGAATGATTGACAGAGCTCTTGATAGCTCACAATTAAGATAATTACGACATCAAAATTTACCCGCATATTGCAATTGAATATTAATCTACCAGTCTACTTGAACAGGAAGTTTGCTTCAAAAACAGCTTTGGGCAACTAACTTATGATCAGCAAAATAATCAATTTTTGATCGGTAAATGCGAATTTTTGTATAATTGTTTCCTATCTTCAACATTTTATGGTACATGTCTACTTCGGGAAAAATTTACTAAAATTCCACCGCATTACCAGATTGTGCAACAGAAAACTTTCTTAACAACTAGTAGTTGTTTTGGAAAACACATCAATTTTTAAAAACAAGGATTATTTTTGTTTGCTTCAGCAGGAATTCTGTCCCGGTTCAATATTTCAAAGTTCTTGTAAAAAAAAAAATAAAAAATTCCCTTTGTACATATCTCATCTCTTTGTTCCAATCAATATTCTTTTTATACTTCCTATTAGCTAAAAATTTTTTATGGCCAAATTTAGACGTCCCTTTATAATGTAAAAATAAATTTTTTGCTGACTCGCAACTCAACATGTTCAGCTTTATTATGCTGTAAGATCTTTGCGACTTAAAAGACTGAATAACCTTTTTACCATACTTCAGGATCCAACTTCTAGCAGGCATGTAAAATTAGAAATATTTTACGTGAACTAACGGTCCTAAAATCTTACATTCGTTTAGAAAAAACTGCTAATACGAAAAATTAGCTTTCTTTCGCGCTATTGTCTCGCCCCCAAATAGCTTTACACCTTTTCTTTAATACAGTTAACTCGTGAGATACTGCAAGTATTCAACATTAAGATATCACGACAAATTCCAGCCATTCTAGGAACTATGAATGATTATATTACAGTTTTTCAGATGTTGGCGCAGTCGGCGTTACTGGTAATCAGAAAAAGCAGGAAGCTCTCAAAAAATTTCTGTGCTGTATCGAGTTGATAACTCTATCAAAAACAAATCTGAAATAATTTCAGGCGCATATCACTCATTCACCATCTCATTCTACTTTAAAACCTTTCAAGCTATCCTTCGTAAAAAGTTTCATTACTCATCAAAAAAATACGACACAGTGTTCACCGAAAAATAACTCAAGCTATGCAAAAAATAAAATGTGAACTGAGATAACAACTTGAGAATCGTGTAGTACGCAAAAATTATAAATTGTACAAAAAAGTAGATAAGACCGCCAACAATGTCACTTTACAATACGAAGATTTTGAATGAAAAAATGAGGAATAAATCAGTACTTCACAGTACCCTGATGTCACAATCTAAAAGACCATTTGCAGACTCTTCCACTGGTAAGCAGGCTCTAAGATCATTTAGTACAGTATAATATATAAAAAAAATCTACTCTTAGATCACACTCTGCATTCGAAGAAACAAGTTAGACGACAGTTAAAAAGTAGCTAGAAGCTAAATCACTTAGAATAAAATTTATAACTAAAAATAACTGAAAATTGAATTCCAAAATTATATGCATGCACTAACGGCGGACAGGGAACCGTCCCGATGAAATAAAACTTTCAAAAATACGACCCAATAAAGCAACTTCTGCTTCCTTTGGCAACTGGAACTCCGTTATGTCCTGCCCATCATTCTAAACAAATAAAACTTCCGATTACACGCTGTCAGTTATTGATACATCTGGTTCAAACAGTGTCCTTCATATTAAAAGGTAAAATCACAAATTATTTTACTTTAAGAGTTTCAACTATTAAACTCGCGGCATCAAGAATATATGCTTCAACTGTCACTTTCATTAGCTTCACTAAACCTTCTTTCGTACAGCCACACACTTTGTCCCAAAATCTAAAAAACTAGACCACTCAAATTAATCTAATTCCTTATCCTTCCATATTCTTTATTTCACATAAATTTTCGAAATCAGAAGTAATCTTTGGAAATATTGAAACCATGCAGCCCACTAACTTAAGTACACCTTCGTGAGAAAACATGGTAGCACCAACGCTTCGAAACCAGAAAATAAACGGTATACGACTCCACAAATTATTATCGTTTATAGCGGTAACTGCAGGATCGTTTTTTATAGCTTGCAATTTGTCCTTTGTCTCCCATGCCGTCTTGAATAAAAAAGAGACAAGTATTAAAAAAGCATTTTCCCGAATTTACTTTACTATTTGACTTTCTCCCACTATAAGAAACGAAAAACTAACTGAAAAAAGAACCACTTTTATCAAACCAATTCACTCAAATGAATAAAATTTTTTGATAAACTCGGCAACCTTATGCAGAACAGTATCCGTAAAAACTGAAGCGACAAGCTCATCAAAGTTTTTGGTAAGCCAAAATGCATCACGCCACTCCTGCTTACAAGCGATGAGCATCTGTTTAGCTATCTGTAGAAAAATCCGCTTACACCGTCGGGTTAAAGAGAAAAAATTATAAGGTATAATTCAACAACTTCAAAAGTCAATTGAGCAGCTTGCTCACTGTTGCGTTCTCTGTAATCATCGTAATTTTTTAAGGAAAATCTACGAAGCGGTAAAGAAGTTCTACAGCCCGAAAAGCAAAAAAATAAAGAATATTAAGAAATTCATACTGCTAGTTGCGCTTGGAAATATACATCATTCGGATATGCAGAACGAACAAGTGCCTTTCCATCTCCGAGTTGAATCATTCTTAAAATATCAATACTTTCCAAATCCGGTTCGGCAGTTTCGTCCGTAGCTAATGCAGAAAAATTAGTTAGAGCCCGCATAACCGTTAATGACCGTAAAAGCACATCTGCCTTAAAGAAGTGGTAATTACACAACAAAGCAGACCAATTTTTTTACCTACCTAAAACTGCCGTAGCTAAAGGATGGCAAGTGGTTATCGTTCATTTATGCTGGCAGTTATTCTTCCTCGTTTTTTAAAATCTTTTCAAATCTTTTAAGTCTCCTTTTTTCAGGTGGTTCAAATAACTTAATCAATTCCACTGTAGTCTTTTTAAAAATCATGAATCAGCTGTATTAATTACAGAAATCTTATCTTAATTAACCTACCTTAAGAAAAATTACTAGACTATACGTGCTCATTTTTCGAAATAGAAAGCCATAATACTAGAAAAACCAAATGTTGACAGTTTCCTCATGTCAAATAACAGTGAATGTTTACTGAAAGCTAGCAGGTTTTAATATCGCGAACTAATGCAACTTTACCAGGAGAACACCGACGAGAAATCAGGAACAAACTATGAAAAACAACAAATATAAAGAAATTAAGTAGCTAACAAAAAGCTAAATAAGTGCTACGGTTGGTAAATAAATAATTAAAAATTAATCTTTTCAAACATTTATGAGCAGATGATCATCACAGACCCTTTTTACTTGCAGCTGGCAGATTCTATCTTTAGTATTAGCTTCATCTACTCAAATTCACAATGCCCTTTACTATTATTTACAAATTTACAACCTAACACAAATGCGTTCAGTTTAAATGTAATATCAGTTACGCGAGTAAATTATAACACTTGCTACAGAAAGACTTCCAACTAAGTCTGTGTCCAAAATATAAAAAAAATGATATCACAATCCAATTGTCTTTCTTTCTGCTTTAGAAAACTCAATGAACTACTAAAAACCGTAACTATCGCTTCTAGTTGTGAAAAACGAGAAAATAAAAGAAAAACGCAGCTAAAAATCACTAACAAAAAACTTCTGATAACCCTGACGCCTCCATTCACACCTCCAAAAACCACTTTTACTATGACTTTTACACTTGCTACCTTAACCAACGTTCTTCTAGTTCGTAAGCGCCAAAAAATTAATTAGTAACGGAATAAACCCACAATGAATTCAGTCAACATTCGCTAAAGTTAACAAAATCAAGCTGAACAAAACCAAGATATTTAAATCACAAAAGCTACTTAAAAGTTTCAACTAGCCTTTCAGAACAACGCTTAAAATGCCTGTATTCCAAGCCTCACCTCTTCCTTTCGATGCTGAGCGACCACTTTTTTTATTTTGGAATAGCAAGAGTCAACATCTGAAATAATTGCATCTTTCATCCAAAGCACTTTCTGATAGCCATTTCTGTAACACAGAAAATCTCTCTCGGAAATATTTTTAATAAAAAAATTTGTCTTCGAAGTACTTTTCGGTAATTTAGCTAAAAAATTCACTGTTGTGGCCTGTCAGAAAAGGCGTCAAAAT